TCTAATAGTTCTGACAAATTAGAAAGGCCTCCAGTCCCAGAATCACTGATGCCGTTATGTCTGTTTTCACTGTTAGATTGTTGTATTTTACCTGAAGCATATCTTTACCGTAATTGTTCACCCGAAGATTTGACTTGCCTTTGCATGTGTTGTGACGTGTGGCGCAGGATGCGCCCACCTTTTCGCTAACACCTGTCATCATCACTATTTGCTGAAAGAAACACACTCGTATTTCACCCACATTACAATGGACGAGATTTCTTATGACAGTGGAAAATTGATTTAGTCGCTTTTATTATCAGTTGACGCGTTTTTGTTTCAGATCTGTTGCTATGAAGACCTCAGTTGTCTTCACCTGCCTACTCCTCATCCTTCCAGGATGCACAGCGGAGGCTGTAGCGGGTGAAGGTGCTGACGACCAGCCTCACTTATCCAAGAAAAATGCTGAAGTACCGGTAAGCCCTATTCCATATAACGTTTCTGAAACCTATCAAGGACACAGCATATTCAATAAATGTACAGCAATCTAAAATGATACCATTGCAAGTGTGAAGGAAAATGTCCCGCACGGTTATAACCAACGCAAAGTCAGGTAGTGGATGGGAGGGATGTTGTTGGCGTAGAGTTTGGAGAGGGGAGGGGAGGGGGGGGGGGAGAGTTGCGCTCTGTACATGAACCATATGTGACCTGAGGGCTCTATTCCTTCGACCATCTAAGATGTACACGATCGTTCACTAAGATAAATTATACTGCAATCCATAACGAATTACTAATGCGTGTGTCGAGTTAGAGACATTGCAGTGTGATCGTATAAAGATGTCCTTCACAGCATAGCAGTCGTATCACTCGACACCCCGTCACCTTTTGGTTTTGTTCAGGCTGAAGCTGATACAAACGAAGTCGAAAAGAACATTGAATCAAGACACGTAAGATATGGCAGCAGTAACGTCGTTGGATGGGGAAGCAGAACTGCGAAGACCTACGTAAGGAGAAGTCGAATCAGTAGCAGCGTTGGATGGGGAAGCAGAACTGGGAGCACCCCCGGCACCAGAACTGGGAGAGAATTGGTGGCTAGCAGGGTTGGAAGGAGAAGCACTTACGCAAGGAGAATTGGTGGCAGTAGCAGGGTTGGATGGAGAAGCAGAACTGGGGGCACTTACGGAAGAAGAACTGGGAGCACTTACGCAAGGAGAATTGGTGGCAGTAGCAGGGTTGGACGGGGAAGCAGAACTCGGAGCACTTACGGGACCAGAACTGGGAGCACCTACGGAAGAAGAACTGGGAGCACTTACGGGACCAGAACTGGGAGCACTTACGCAAGGAGAATTGGTGGCAGTAGCAACGTTGGATGGGGAAGCAGAACTAGGAGCACCCCCGGCACCAGAATTTGGAGCACTTTCGTAAGGAGAATTGGTGGCAGTAGCAGCGTTGGATGGGGAAGCAGAACTGGGGGCACCTACGGAAGAAGAACCGGTATCAGATTGGGAAGCAGATTTGGAACCTTATTCCTAAGCTGGGGACAGACACGCTGGGGACAGACACGCAGTGGAACACGCCGACAAGGACACCGCAGGGGAGGCATAGGTTGGAGATATGGGTGGAGACGTGGCTGGGGACATAACGGCGGCGGTAGAGGCGATGATAGTGGTGACGGTAGCGGCGATGGTAGCGGTGACAATAAATGTAACAATGAAATGTACTTAACAACAATAAATGCGCAATAATAAATAAGAATGTCGTCTAGAAGACAACAATAGCAATAATAAAATGCGAGATAATATGGTAATAATAAATAAGAACAATAGTAAAAATCGTATCGCAGCAATAATAAATTACGAGATAATCATCGAAGACAATGTCGCAATGTCTCGTCGTAACAATCGTCGAAGATAATCGCAATGGCAATAAATGCGAAATTTCTCTGTACATAAATAGAACAATAACAACAATAAATAATGTCATCTCGTAACAACAATCACGTAATAGACGATATCGTATAATATGAAGTATCTTTCGTCAGGTGTCGTAAACAATAAATAAAGTAGCAATGGCAATAATGTCATAAAGTGGTAATAAATAGTATTAACAAGTAATGTCATCCGTCTAACATAGTCGTAAAAATCAACAATACTTATCAATGTCGTCGTAACAATAACAGCAATTAATAAATATCAATATCATGGCAATGGCATCGTAACAATAAATAGAAGATATCGCCAATGCTTAATAAGTACAACTAGCGCAATGTCATCGTCGAGAACTCCCTACGCCAGCAATAATCATCGTAAAGAACAATAATAACAAATTAAGAATAAAAAATCACGAGAACAATAAATAAAGTAATAATAAGTAATGAGAATGTCGCAAAGATATAGTAACAAATAGAATAATAAGACAAGAGATGAGTAACAATGTCGAGATAAATACATATCGTCGTAGCAATCGTCGAGATAATCGCAAAGAGATATGATGCTCGTCATATCGCCAAGTCTCTCATCGTAATAATCGTAAGTAATGTCGCCGTAATAATAAATAGAATAATAAGTAGTAACAATCTGCCAGAGGCTGTCACCATACAGTAATAGTAATGTCATAAATTAGAACAATAAGTAATAATGTCAATCTTGATGTCGTCGTGGCTGTCTCGTCGAGTCGTGGTAATATAAGTAAGTGCTTATATGGTAAACTCTAAATGAAGTAGCTCTCTCGCTGGCAATAAATAAATGTTTTAACAATAATAAATGAACGTCACTAGGATAATATCGAAGATCGTAGAACAATAAGTGAAATTTCATCATGGCGCAATAATAACAGTAAAGGAGATAATAAATTAAGATCGCATCGTCGCCATTAACAAAGTAAGGATAATGCCGCAGAACAATATAGTAAGTAGCAAATAAAAGAATATCATAGGATATAAATAGTAACAAGAAATAGTAATAAATTAAGTGACGATAAAATAAAGGGATAATCGCAGAGATAATCGCTTAGTGATAACAAAGTAAAGAGATAATCATAGAACACAATGGTAACAATCGCGATAAATAATGAGATCATCGAAAACAATGTCGTCACAAAGTAACGATAAATAAAGAACAATCTCAGAACAGATAAAATAATGTCGTCGTAATGGAAGTAGGACAATAAATTAGTAACAATAAATAATAATAAATCGATTATCGTAGAACAATAAATGCAACAATGACAATAAATGAAGTAATGTCGTAAAGGACAATAAACAATCTTTGATAATAATAATGGCAACAAATTAAAGGGATAATAAAATAGAATAACCGTGATAAAATTAGAACAATATACGATAATAAATTAAGATAATGCGTAGAACAATGGTCGAGCAACGTGGTAACAATGACAGGTCGAGATAAATGGAACAATAAATGGTAATGATAAATAAAACCTGTCGCGGAACTAATGTAGTATTAATAGTACCAATAATGGGAACAAAGTAAGTAGCAATATGATAATGTCGTCATTAATAAATAAAGTAGCAATCATGAGATGCCGTAATTATTAACAATTCGAGATAATGTCATGAAGACAATAAATTAAGGCTGTCAGCGTAATAATATTAATAGGGTAAGTCGTCGTAATAAATCGTGGCAATAAATAGTAGGATGTCAGAACAATAAATAATGTCGTCGATTAATAAGTGGAATAGTCATGGCAACAATGTCTTAAAGTAATCCTTAACGGCTGTCACAATATGATAAATTGCGATAAAGTAGAGATAATAAATGAATAACTGTCGCAGTAATGTCGTCGAAGATAACGAAGTGAGATAATAAATGGGAATAACAATTGATAATGATAAATAACAATAAATTAAGGTAACAATATAATGGATAATGGTAATGATGGGATGTCAATCGGTGTCGTCGTGGCAATAAAATTAAGGATAATGTCGCAAGGATAATGCAATAGTAACGAATCAGGATAATGCGTCGGGAACAATAAATGGTAACGATAAATATTAGGGATAAGTCAAGGATAATGGTAAAATTGATAACGAGTGGGATAATAAATTAGAACAATAAATGGGAACAATAAAAGTAATGTCGTGTCGAGACAATCATGAAGTAAATAAAGTAATGTCGTCGAGACAATAAAGAACAATAAATCGAACAATCCGCAAATAATATCGTAAAGATTAATAAAGTAGATATCGTCAGGATAAATAATGTCATCGTAATGTCGTCGAATAATCGTCGAAGCAATCGCCAGTAATGTCATCGGGAACAAAGTAAATCCATGGTAATGTCGTAGAATGATAAACAATCTCGCAAATGTCGTCGAGATCGCCGGAATTTCTTTCGTCAGCTGTCGCCAGTAACAATCATCATTTCTCGTGAAGATAATCGTCGAAGACTCTTTCATCAATAATAAATTAAAGGATGTCGTCATTTCTTCAAATAAAATGCTGTCGTAAAGGATATCATGAGATATCGCGAAATTGTCTTTCGTCGAGATAATAAATAAAGGACAATCGTCGAACAATCGTCGTAACAATAAATATTAACCATTAAAGGATGTCATCGAACAATAAATAAAGTAACAATAAATAAAGGATATCCGCAAAGTTAAACCATGAAGTAATGTCGCGAATAATCGTCGGCAATTTCGTCGTGAACATCGCGATAATGTCGTCGTAATGTCGTCGATTAATCGTCGTGAACAATACCAATCGTAACAAATCGAGGATAATCGTCGGTATCGTATTAACAATCATTAAAGATAATCGCAAAGATGAAAACGCAATAAACAGATTAGAACAAAGTAAATTAATGTCGCAATATTAATAAATTAATTAATGTCGTCGGACAATCGCCAGAAGACAATAAATAATAAGTCAAGGACAATCGTCGGTTCACCAATATTAATGAAGTAAATCAAAGTTAATCGTCGACAATAAAGTAATGTCGTCGGGATTATCGTCGACAATAAAATGTCGTCCGGAAGTTAATCATCGAACAATCGCAGTAATGTCGTCAGGATATCGCGATAATGTCGCGGATAAAGTAAATGTCATAGGCAAATTATGGGATAATCTCGTCGACAATCGTCGTAAGATATAGTGGGGATGATAAGCGGGGATGATAGCGGTGATGACAGTGGGGATGATAGTGGAGGCGACGGTGGTGGCGATGATGATAATTGAAGGTGATGATAGTGGGGACGATAGTGGGAGACGATGAGTGGTAGCGATAAGCGATGATGACGAGTGGGGATGTTAGTGGAGACGATAATTGGTGATGATGAGTGGGATCATAGGGGATGATAAGCGGTGACCAGTAGGTGGATGATAGTGGAGGGAAAGTGGTGACGATAGCTGATGATGACAGTGGGGATGATAGTGGAGACGATAGTGGTGATGATAGTGGGGATAATAAGCGGGGATGATGAGGGTGATGACACAGTGGGGATGATAGTGGTGAAGAAGTGGTGACGATGGCGATGATGATGATTGGGGATGATAATTGGGGACGATGGCGGAGACGATAGCGGTGATGATGATTTGGGGATGATGGTGGAGACGATATAGCGGAGACGATAGCGATGACGATGAGTGGTGATGATAATTAGGGGACGATAGTGGAGACGATAGCGGTATTGATAATCGTGATGATAGTGGGGACAGCGATAGTGGAGACGATAAGCGGTGACGATAGCGATGATGACGGTGGGGATGATAGTGGAGGCGATAGTGGTGTCGATAGGTGGGGATGATAGCGGGGATGATAGCGCTGATGACAGTGGGGATGATAGTGGCGACGAAAGTGGTGACGATAGCGATGATGATAATGGTGATGATAGTGGGGACGATAGCGATGACGATAGCGGTGATGATAGTGGGGATGATAGTGGAGACGATAGCGATGATGATAGTGGTAATGATAGTGGGGACGATAGTGGAGAAGATAGCGATGATGATAGTGGGGATGATAGTGGAGACGATAGCGGTGATGATAGTGGGGACGATAGTGGAGACGATAGCGGAGATGATAGTGGTGATGATAGCGGAGGCGACAGGGGGGATGATAGCGGGGATGATAGCGATGATGACAGTGGGGATTATAGTGGAGACGACAGTGGTGACGATAGCAATGATGATAGTGGTGATGATAGTGGGGACGATAGTGGAGACGATAGTGGTGACGATAGCGATGATGACAGTGGGGATGATAGTGGAGACGATAGTGGTGATGATAGTGGGGATTATAGCGACGATGATAGCGGAGATGATAGTGGTGATGATAGCGGAGGCGACAGTGGGGATGATAGTGGAGACGATAGTGGTGATGATAGTGGGGATTATAGCGGGGATGATAGCGGTGATGACAGTGGGGATGATAGTGGAGAAGAAAGTGGTGACGATAGCGATGGTGATAGTGGTGATGATAGTGGGGACGATAGTGTTGACGATAGCGATGATGATAGTGGGGATGATAGTGGGGACGATAGTGGAGACGATAGCGATGATGATAGTGGTGATGATAGTGGGGATGATAGTGGAGACGATAGCGGTGATGATAGTGGGGACGATGGTGGAGACGATAGCGGTGATGATAGTGGGGATGATAGCGACGATGATAGCGGAGATGATAGTGGTGATGATAGCGGAGACGACAGTGGAGACGATGGCGTTGACGATAGTGGAGAAAATAGTGGAGATGATAGTGGAGACGACAGCGGCGATGATAGCGGGGATGATAGTGGCGATGATAGTGGTGACGATAGTGGTGACGGCAGTGGAGACGACAGTGGAGGTGATAGCGTTGATAGTAAGTGCCAACCCCACAGACATCGAAAGCATCCTTGGCACCATCGTAGACATCACAGGCACGGCTGGCACCATGGCAGGCATCGTAGGTACGGCCGGCACCGTGGCAGACATGGCAGACATGGCAGACATGGTAGACGCGGCATATACAGATGGCGTCGTTAGTAATGCGTCTGGCATTTTGTCAGGTTAGTGTAAATGTTTACTGTTTTACTGCATAGATGTAATTTCACAAATTTAATCTGCTAACTGCTACGTGAGATAACACATGTAATTCTGGATCAGTTGCAGCCAAATTTCACGGAATAAATGTATGTTAACATGTATAGCTTATAAAAGTTCCATTAAGCGAAGACGCCCATTCCCCAACTGGGCGTTGCTTAACATGAGCCTCACAACTACTCTGCCGCACCTTACCTTTCGGAATAAGTCCCTGAATTCGACCTCCAGGAATTCACGGCCCATTCCACCTTTGCAGTGCCTGCGATTGCAGTTGATCTAACGTCGGTTGACGCTTACGCACTCGTCGGCCGGGGTCATCCTCACAAATACTCTACTGAGTTTGAGTTTTGGGCGATTTGGAAGGCCATGAGCACTGTACCGAATAGCAAATAAATTACGTCCTGAAGGCCTACAATGTGATTTGCGTTTTTTGGATAGCTGAAACCCACACCATGACGCTTTCTGGCCAACTATATCTGTGAACCTGGAGCGACACAATCCGACGTCGATGGGCGAAAATACTCTTCCGTCACGGCTTTTGAAGCGAAAACGCCTGATTCGTCACTGAACCATACACGTACCCAGTTTTGTAGATCCCACGGTCAAGCGATCATTGGGCCCGTCGACGTCGATGCCAGGAAATCGCTGCTGTACAGGGCCAAATAGGGTCTTCTTGATCGAAGGTCAGCTTCTCGTAAACAGGTTACGAATGGTTTGCGCCGACAGTCTCCTTGAAACCAGGCACGGCACTTGCAGTTACAGTTACATATGCTGGCGACAGTTCGATTCCGCAAAATGAAGCACCGAGATCCATCTTCCTGCGCTGCGGAAGTGGTTACATCCGAGTCCTACCACTTCGAGAGTCTGGTATTGTACAATTGGTTTTGCTGATATCGATTCCAAAAACGACTGCTGGTACTCTGTTGAACATTGGTACGGCGATGCAACGGCAGGGTGAGACTCCCTAGCCTGCGGGCGTCCAACGGTAATGTTTACAGCAGTGAGTCGCGAAGCATAACGGTATTTCTTTCATTTGGCTAAAATGCCATTTGATGGTCTAAGAGCAAAGTCCGCCTTAAATGAGCAATGTCTCTGTTCACGATTCCTCATAACTGTACGTGCATATTAAGTGGAACCATTTTGACTTTCTAAGCGACATTTTTTATGTAAGTTAAGACATTTTCGAACGTGAAACCTGAATTCAAGTTTCCGTAGATGCGTTTTTGCGCTGTACGCAAACCAGCAGAAATTATAACAATCCACACACTCATTCTTTTTCATATATCAGTTTTACATATGCGCTTCTTATTGGGGAGAGTATATGCTTAACGAATATGAAAGGTCATCATAAGAGGCTTCATTGTGAAACTTTTTGACAAATGGCGATGAAAATATGAAAATATTTTGGTTGCTTTGGTGTCTTTGCTAATAGCGCTGTTGAATAACTCGATTATCCTCCTTACTGAAATTTGATTTAAGCTTAAATAACAAGGGTTATGTCATCTAGTTTCTTAATTAGAGCTGACGGTTAAATAACTGGATTATGCTACTGTCGGACAAAAAGTAACTGTAACTATTAGAGAACTTCGTTATTCTGATACTTCGTCTGTTACTAAAGTGTTCAAAATATTCATTCAATAACTCGGTGTTGTTACTGTCTGAACATTCGATTACGCTTCTTGTCTGATAACGAGATCAATTCTTGGATTGTGATCATAATGTCATTAATTTATGTACCGAAATTTCAAAACGCGACTCAGAGGCGGTGTGGTTGCTCTAGTAACGTTCGCTCTTCATGCCAAGGACAAGGTTCGATTTCAATTAAAGGTAAACTGCGTGGAAGCGCATTTCTGTGTCTCCTGACTGTGATTGAGTTTGGGTTTACGCCGCTTTTAGCAATATTCCAGCAACAACATCACGGCGGGGAACACCAGAAATGGGCTTCACACATTGTAACCCATGTGGGGAATCGAACCCGGGTCTTCGGCGTGACGAGCCAGCACTTTAACCATTAACTAGGCTAAATTCCGCCGCCCCCTATTGAAATGCTCAAATCATATTCAAAGCGGCATGAAACCCAGCTCCCTCACTCACACAAATGGCCTATCAAAGATATCTGAAGCTATTCCGGCTTTTCCAAGTACTGATCCGTAAATTATATTCTTTAGCTCTAGGTGACGTAATGATATCTCAAATCAGGGTAGCATCATGACAGGACGTATGATGTTCTTCACTGCTCAAAGTCAATTTATTTACAATAAATGAACATTGATTTACGCCGCAGGGTAACGGTATTTCATCAATAATTACTTACTTAATCTCAATATGTTTTAGTTCAAAGTAGCACTTCATCATTTCTGTTCTTGCATAGGTTTTCTCTATACCTGTTTGAAATAATACATAGGTTGGAGATATGGGTGGAGACGTGGCTGGGGACATAACGGCGGCGGTAGAGGCGATGATAGTGGTGACGGTAGCGGCGATGGTAGCGGTGACGATAGTGGCGACGGTAGTGGTAGCGGCGACGATAGTGGCGATGATAGTGGGGATGATAGTGGAGATGACAGCGGCGATGATAGTGGGGATGACAGCGGTGATGATAGTGGAGACGACAGCGGTGATGAAAGTGGAGACGATAGTGGCGATGATAGTGGGGATGATAGTGGAGACGATAGTGGCGATGATAGTGGTGACGATAGTGGAGATGATAGCGGTGACGATAGTGGAGACAATAGCGGCGATGATAGTGGAGACGATAGCGGCGACGATAGCGATGATGATAGTGGTGACGACAGTGGGGATGATAGAGCAGACGATAGCGGCGATGATAGTGGAGACGATAGTGGAGACGATAGTGGTGACGATAGTGGGGATGATAGCGGGGATGATAGCGGTGATAACAGTGGGGATGATAGTGGAGACGATAGTGGTGACGATAGCGATGATGATAATGGTGATGATAGTGGTGATGACAGCAGTGATGATAGTGGAGATGACAGCGGTGATGAAAGTGGAGACGATAGCGGCGATGATAGTGGTAATGATAGTGGAGACGATAGTGTCGATGATAGTGGCGATGATAGTGGTGACGATAGTGGAGATTATAGTGGTGACGATAGTGGAGACAATAGCGGTGATGATAGTGGAGACCATAGCGGCGACGATAGTGGTGACGACAGCGATGATGACAGTGGGGATGATAGTGGAGACGATAGTGGTGACGATAGTGGGGATGATAGCGGGGATGGCAGCGGTCATGACAGTGGGGATGATAGCGGAGACGATAGTGGTGACGATAGTGGGGATTATAGTGGAGACGATAGTGGTGACGATAGTGGGGATGATAGCGAGGATGATAGCGGTGATGACAGTCGAGATGATAGCGGAGACAATAGTGGTGACGATAGCGATGATGATAGTGGTGATGATAGTGGGGACGATAGTGGAGACGATATCGGAGACGATAGCGATGATGATAGTGGTGATGATAGTGGGGACGATAGTGGAGACGATAGCGCTGATGGGATGGTGGAGGACAAAGGAGGAAATAGCGGATGAGGGATGGAGGGTGGAGGAGGATGGAGGACAGTGGATGGAGAGACAGTGGTGGAGGAGGGGTGGAGAGATAGTGGAGGAAGGAAGGATGGATGGAATGAGGATGGAGGGACAGTGGATGATATGGAGAGGAAGATGGACAGGTGGAATGGATGGAGGTGGATGATAGTGGAAGGAGGGATGGAAAGTGGATGGAGGTGGTGGAAGGATATGGTGGAGGAAGAATGGATGGAAGGAGGATGAAGGAAGGATAGAGGGAGGTGGACCGGATAGTGGTGGATGGAGGATGGAGGATGGAGGAGTGGATGGAAGTGGAGGATGGAGGAAGGATGGAGGTGGATGGATGGAGGAGGTGGATGGATGGAGGGAAGGATGGAGTGGATGGATGGAGGAAGGATGGAGAAGGAAGGAAGGAGGAAGGAGGTGGATGGTGGAGGAGAGGATGGAGGTGGAAGGAGGATGGAGGTGGATGGAGGATGGATGGAGGAGTGGATGGAGGATGGAAGGAATGGATGGAGGTGGAGGATGGAAGGAGGATGAAGGATGGAGGTGGAAGGATGGATGGAGGAGGAAGAATGGATGGAAGGAGGGAGGGAGGATGGATGGATAGAAGGATGGATGGAATGGAAGGATGGGATGGAGATGGAGGTGGAGGATGGATGATGGAAAGGGAGGATGGAGATGGAGGATAATGGAGGAAAGGAGGATGGAGGAGATGGATGGAGTGGAGGATGGATGGAGGAAGGAGGATGGATGGAGGAGGAGATGGATGGAGTGGATGGATGGAGGGTGGAGGTGGATGGAGGATGGATGGAGGAATGGAGGAAGGAAGGAAGGAGGATGGTGGAGGGAGGAGGATGAATGGATGGAGGAAGGAGGATGGATGGAAGGAGTGGATGGATGGAGGAGGATGGAGGTGGAAGGAGGATGGATGGAGGAAGTGGAGGATGGAGGATGGAGGAGGTGGATGGAGGAAGGATGGATGGATGGAAGGATGGATGGATGGAGGAAGAGTGGAGGGAGATGGATGGAGGAGGAGGGATGGAGATGGTGGATGGAGGATGGAGGAAGGATGGAGGAGGGAAGGAGGGAGGATGGAGGAGGAAGATGGATGGATGGATGGAGGAAGGAAGGGATGGATGGATGGAGGATGGAGGTGGAGGAAGGATGGAGGATGGAATGGAGGAAGGGAGGGATGGAGGGATGGATGGAGGATGGATGGAGGAGGAAGGATGGATGGATGGATGGATGGAGGAAGGATGGATGGAGGATGGATGGAGGAGGATGGATGGAAGGAGGAAGGATGGAGGGATGGATGGATGGAAGGATGTGGATGGAAGGATGGATGGATGGAGGGATGGATGGATGGATGGAGGATGGATGAGGATGGATGGAGATGGTGGATGGATGGAGGAGGAAGGAGGATGGAGGGAGGATGGAGGATGGAGGGATGGTGGATGGAGGATGGGATGGATGGAGGATGGAGGATGGAAGGAGGAGGATGGATGGATGGAGGTGGAAGGGATGGATGGATGGAGGATGGATGGATGGATGGAGGATGGGAGGATGGATGGAGGAAGGTGGATGGAGGATGGAGGGATGGAGGAGGAGGGATGGATGGAGGATGGGGATGGAAGGAGGAAGGAGGAAGGGAGGAGGTGATGGAGGATGGAGGAAGGTGGATGGAGGGTGGATGGAATGGAGGAGGATGGAGAGGATGGATGGAAGGTGGATGGATGGATGGAGGATGGAGGAGTGGATGGAAGGATGGAGTGGAGGAAGGAAGGAATGGATGGAAGGAATGGGATGGATGGAGGATGGAAGGGAAGGGAGGAAGGATGGAAGGATGGGGAGGAAGGATGGAGGAGGAGGAGGATGGATGGATGGAGGATGGAGGAGGATGGATGGAGGATGGAGGATGGAGGATGGTGGAGGAATGGATGGATGGATGGAGGGGATGGAGGAAGATGGATGGAAGGAGGGTGGATGGATGAATGGATGGATGGAGGATGGAAGGGAGTGGAAGGAATGGAGGGAGGAGGAGGAAGGATGGAGATGGATGGATGGAGGATGGAGGTGGATGGAGGTGGATGGATGGAAGGTGGAATGGAGGAAGGAGGTGGATGGATGGATGGTGGAAGGAGGAAGGAGGAAGGAATGGAGGAAGGAAGGAGGATGATGGAGGAGGAGGATGGATGGAGGATGGATGGAGTGGAGGGAGGTGGAGGAGGAGATGGAGGATGGATGGAGGATGGATGGATGGATGGAGGATAGGAAGGAAGGATGGAGTGGATGGATGGAGGATGGATGGAGGATGGATGGATGGATGGATGGATGGATGGATGGATGGAGGAGGAATGGAGGAGGAGGAGGAAGGAATGGATGGAGGAGTGGAGGAAGATGAGGAATGGAGGAGGATGGATGGTGGAGGAGGAATGGAGGATGGAGGATGGTGGAGTGGAGGATGGAGGATGGATGGAGGATGGATGGATGGAGGATGGAGTGAGGATGGATGGAAGGTGGATGGATGGAGGGAGGATGGAGGGGGATGGAATGGTGGAAGGAGGATGGATGGAAGGGATGGATGGATGGATGGTGGATGGAGGAATGGATGGAAGGGAGGAAGGAAGGATGGATGGATGGGTGGATGGGAAGGATGGATGGATGGATGGATGGAGGATGGATGGATGGATGGATGGAAGGAGGAATGGAAGGATGGTGGATGGATGGAGGGAGGATGGTGGAGGATGGAGGATGGATGGTGGATGGATGGATGGATGGTGGAGGAAGATGGATGGTGGATGGAGTGGGAATGGAGTGGAAGGGATGGAGGGATGATAGTGGAGGGAGTGGATGGATGGAATGGATGGAGGAAGATGGATGGATGGAAGGATGAGATAGTGGATGGATGGAGGATGGATAGGAGGATGATAGTGGGGATGGATAGCGGTGATGATAGTGGGGACGATAGTGGAGACGATAGCGATGATGATAGTGGGGATGATAGTGGGGATGATAGTGGAGACGATAGCGGTGATGATAGTGGGGACGATGGTGGAGACGATAGCGGTGATGATAGTGGGGATGATAGCGACGATGATAGCGGAGATGATAGTGGTGATGATAGCGGAGACGACAGTGGAGACGATGGCGTTGACGATAGTGGAGAAAATAGTGGAGATGATAGTGGAGACGACAGCGGCGATGATAGCGGGGATGATAGTGGCGATGATAGTGGTGACGATAGTGGTGACGGCAGTGGAGACGACAGTGGAGGTGATAGCGTTGATAGTAAGTGCCAACCCCACAGACATCGAAAGCATCCTTGGCACCATCGTAGACATCACAGGCACGGCTGGCACCATGGCAGGCATCGTAGGTACGGCCGGCACCGTGGCAGACATGGCAGACATGGCAGACATGGTAGACGCGGCATATACAGATGGCGTCGTTAGTAATGCGTCTGGCATTTTGTCAGGTTAGTGTAAATGTTTACTGATTAATCAATACAAAAGCTACGAGTGTAGCAGATTCTGTTGGAATAGACTTGAGCTATACTCTCCCAAGCGCATAGATGTAATTTCACAAATTTAATCTGCTAACTGCTACGTGAGATAACACATGTAATTCTGGATCAGTTGCAGCCAAATTTCACGGAATAAATGTATGTTAACATGTATAGCTTATAAAAAGTTCAATAAGCGAAGACGCCCATTCCCAATTGGGCGTTGCCAACATGAGCCCTCACAACTACTCTGCACCACCTTGGCATGGCGGAATAAGTCCCTGAATTCGACCTTGTGGAATTCTGGCCCATTCCTCTTGCAGTGCCTGCGACAGTTGATCTAACGTCGGTTGACGTTTACGTACTCGTCGGCCGAGGTCATCTCACAAATACTCTACTGGGTTGAGTTTTGGGCGATTTGGAAGGCCATGAGCACTGTACCGAATAGCAAATAAATTGCCCTGAAGGCCTACAATATGATTTGCGTTTTGGATATGGCTCCCCACACCATGACGCTTTCACAACTATATCTGTGAACCTGGGCGACACAATCCGACGTCGATAGACACGTACTCTTCCGTCACGGCACTGAAGCAGAAAGCATGATTCGTCACTGAACCATACACGTACCCAGTTTTGTAGATCCCACGATCAAACGTCATTGGGCCCGTCGACGTCGATGTAGTCGCTGCTGTTCAGGGCCAAAATAGGGTCTTCTTGATCGAACGTCAGCTTCTCGTAAATGATTACGAATGGTTTGCGCCGACAGTCTCCTGAAACCAGGCACGGCACTTGCAGTTACATATGCTGTGACAGTTCGATTCCGCAAATGAAGTACCCGGATCCATCTCTCCTGCGCTGCAGTGGTAATCCGAGGTCTACCACTTCGAGGTCTATTGTGTACAATTGGTTTGCTGATATCGATTCCAAAAACGACTGCTGGTACTCTGTTGAACATTGAGGTCACGTGCAACGGCAGATTGAGACTCCCTAGCCTGCAGACGTCCAACGGTAATGTTTACAGCAGTGAGTCGCGGCATAACGATATTCTTTCATTTTGGCTAAAATGCCATTTGATGGTCTAAGAGCAAAACCGCCTTAAATAGGCAATGTCTCTGTTCACGATTCCTCATAACTGCACGTGCATATTGCGAACCATTTTGGCTCTATGACATTTTTATGTAAGTTGACATTTTCGAACGTAAACCTGCATTAAAGTTTCCGTAGATGCGTTTTTGCGCTGTACGCAAACCAGCAGAAATTATAACAATCACACCCTAATTCTTTCCATATATCAATTTTACATATGCGCTTCTTATTGGGGAGAGTATATATAACAGGCTTAATGAAGGTCATCAAGAGGCTTCATTGTGCAACTTTTTGACAAATGGCGATGAAAATATGAAATATTTCGGTTACTTTGGTGTCTTGCTAATAGCGCTGTTGAATAACTCGATTACCCTCCTTACTGAAATTTGGTTAAAATTTGAATAACAAGGTTATGTCATCGTTTCTTAATTAGAGCTGACAGTTAAATAACTGGATTATGCTGCTGTCGGACAAAAAGTAACTGTAACTATTAGAGAACTTCGTTATTCTGATACTTCGTCTGTTACTAAGTGTTCAAAATATTCATTCAATAACTCGGTGTTAGTACTGTCTGAACATTCGATTACGCTTCTGTCTGATAACGAGATCAATTCTTGGACAGATCATAATGTCATTAATTATGTACCAAAATTTAAAACGCTACTCAGAGGCGGTGTGGTTGCCTAGTAACGTTCGCTCTTCATGCCAAGGACAAAGGTTCGATTTCAATTAAGGTAAACTGCGTGAAGCGCATTTCTATTGTCTCCTGACTGACTGAGTTTGGTTTAACGCCGCTTTTAGCAATATTCCAGCAACATCACGGCTGGGGACACCAGAAATCGGCTTCACACATTGTACCCATGTGGGGATTCGAACCCGGGTCTTCGGCGTGACGAGCCAACGCTTTAACCACTAGGCTACCCCACCGCCCCCCTATTGTCTCAAATCGTATTCAAAGCGGCATGAAACCCAGCTCCCTCACTCACACAAATGGCCTATCAAAGATATCTGAAGCTATTCCGGCTTTTCCAATTACTGATCCGTAAATTATATTCTTTAGCTCTAGGTGACATGTGATATCTCAAATCAGGGAGTGGCATCATGACAGGCGTGGATGTTCTTCACTGCTCAAGTCAATTTGTTACAATAAATGAACGTTGATTTACGCCGCAGACAGCATTATTCCATCAATAATTACTTACTTCTAATCTCAATATGTTTAGCTCCAAATGTACTTCATCATTTCTGTTCTTGCCTAGGTTTTCTCTATACCTGTTTTGAAATAATACATCTAAATAT